TGTTTATGCTGGGATGTTGTGGAGCTTAGAAGATGTTACAGAACCATTTTATGTAAATTTATTTGATGTACTGAAAAAAATATAGATCACTTTTATGCAGGCTTTTGCGGGCAGGAGTGGGACAAAACATGAATGTCGCGGGCGGGAGCGGGACCAGATAAGATATATTTCTGCGGGAGTGGGCGGGCGCGGGACAGAATCTTGCGGGAGCGGGACTGAAAAACCCGTCCCACGCAGGTCTGTAGTTAGAAGTCCCGGTTGCTATAGAAACAGTCAACATTCTGGAGATGCACGCTTAGGACTGTGCATGCGCTTTGACTAGTCTAGCCTGAAAAATAAGCTATTTTTAACGTTATTGGAGCAAAAGAAACAACATTTATGAGACAGTTGTTGTCAGATTTCATTGGTGATTTCAAATATTAAATTTAATCGTAAGCTTGGCAAACTGTTTTGGAGAATTTGATGTTTCCCCATTCAAAGAGATAGGAGCTGCACTTGCATGCCCGAGAGGCGTTTCAAAGATGGCCGCCAAGTGACATGATTTGCCTTAAAGTCCGCGTGAACCGGAAGTTGCTGCCGACTTTATTTCAGTGTAGTGACGTATTTCCAGCTGAAACGGAATATTGAATAGAGGGCATGGTTTTATTTTTGCGCTCCTCCTCTCTGTCTCTCACTCATAGCAATCTAACGGTTAGAGGGGTGTGTTTAAGGCTATGGTTTAAGGATATTCTGCCCAAGCCGTCAAACTGACGTCATCAGAAAAGGAATTGCATTCCAGAGCGGAAGTAAATGTTCAGATTTTGATTAAAGATTACGAAGACAAACAATTTTTTTAACTTGCACGGATTAATTGTTCACATCATTACTAGCAATGTGCGCTAGTAAAGTAAATAAAGTCAATTTTGATTGCATGCGGACTTTAAAGGGACTTTGACACTTCACAACCATAGACTGTAGGTGCGTTCACGCCATGTCGTAATTACCGTAATTACGAGATGCCAACTTGTAAAAAGCATTCACGTCCTCATAGAACTCGTAATTACAACTTGTAAACTGGGGATTTTCTAAGAGTTATGACTTGTACCACCTGACAGCCACAGGTTCATTTAGCTGCTATGTTTAGGTGTTGATAGTGTTGCCATAGAAATGCATAATTCAGAGTCCAAGGACGTGAACAACTCCGATTAGAACCTAACGTGTTGTCATTTCGAAATTATCGTAATTATGACATGGCGTAAATGCAGCATGTGAACAGCTCCAAGTAGAACATCACGTGTTGTCATCTCGGAATTACAGCAATTACGACATGGCGTGAATGCAGCATAAGTACACAACCGAAAACGCAGGTCACATGACCATTCATGCAGGTACAACAATGTGCATGACGTCATTGTTTACACGGTCGTCAAGGATACGCAGAGCCGAATGTGGGCAGCCACGCCATCATTTTCAAGGGTCTCCGTTTTGGTCCGGTTACACTGAAACGCAACCCCGTCTGCAGCGTTTTCGAAGGTCGAAAACGCCAGAGTAGTGTAAACAACAGGCGTAACCATGGCAAAAATTATGCGTTTTAAAACGAAAACGCACTGGTGTAAATGTAGCCTCAGTCTTGTTAGTCTTTTAGTTTTGTTCGCTTGGCTGTTTCCAGAAATTTGTCAAGTTTTTTCGTCAGGTGTCTTTTTTAATTATATGATGTCATTACGTTGCTGTCTTGCCACCAGCCAATCGCTGCATTGCTGATCGTGGTTTTGAGTATCGATATATCTGCCCTTTTCAGGCAACACGAGAACGCGCACTAATCTTAGACAACTTAATCCAGATATTTTAATCAAATCCGCTAATTCGTTTGAAGAACCAAATTAGCCAGAGATCAGTTATCACGATTACTAGATCTGGAATCTTTCAAATAACCTCAGATGTATTAAGTAAGTACGAAGAACGGACCCCAGGGCTAGTTTTCATTCCTTTTGGGAGGGTTTTGAGTAAGCTTTGGGCTGGAAATTTTTCTGGGACCTGGCATCCCTGCTCAAGTACGTACTGATTTCCTTAATCTAGTGCGAAGTTCATTCTCATTAGATTGCACAATGGAGATTAATTGAAATGATGGTTCTATCAAAATAACATAAAATTAACGTGTGAATATCAATATAGCCCAAATGGATGAGTAGCGAACGTTCAAAAATAAATGGGAGCAATCATGACTGAATGTCTCCTTATTTTATTAAAAATATCAAGCTATACCGATTTATTTTGCATGCATGATCTTGCAAAAATGTCCCTGCACAATTAAACAAAATCTATGGCTGTCGCGAATAAAGTGAAAATGAAATAAAAAGTGTAGATTGCGGCATTAAATTTAGATCTGCATCATGCATTTAGATGCTGCATCACATTTATTTTTAAAAGTGTTTTACTTTGTTGCGAATCTTAACCAATCACACACGATTCTGTTGAGCTTATTGATGCAGTGGCCAATTAGAAGCGTTCAGATGAGTCATCGCTGAAACACCGGAGTTTATTTCAGAATGCGAGCTCGCTGACTGAATTCTGCTCTCTCGCAAATGATCTCATCATAAGCAACAAAGTGCAGATGTATCTACGATGTAAGTAAGAGATTCATTCATCATACAGTATGTAGACAGCTTCAGTGTTTATAACGGGGGAGTTTTTTGAAAGATCTTAAACTCGTGCCAGACTTAAGTCAGTGATAATATTCTTTGATAAATAGCCTAAATGTGCTGTGCTCACATTCTCTATATGATTTATTCGTTGTTTGAATAACCGTGGAAATTAAATCGTTACAATTAACAGGCCTAACTTACGTTTTATTAAATTGTGATCATGTTAAATACAAATTTGGTAATATTAAAATATTTTATGACATGAGACCCATTATCCGGTAGCCTATACCTATACAATATACTTGCCTAAAAAGACGGGTATGATGTGCGTTGTTAACAGATTACACTAACATTATGGAGTTGGGTCACCCTCAGCCTTTGGAGGAAAAAAAAAGTTTTCAAAAGCACCCCCCCATGGGGTTTTACTAGACTGTAGTGTTTAAAATAGGCAGCTGTTGTATTTAAGTATTTTTCAGCTTAGTGTATTTTATCATTTTTGTTTTTTGTTAATTGTGCAACTTGCATTACTTTGTTATCGCCATAGCCCTGCATCTGACGTGGCGTTAAAAACTAAAATACATTTTTATTCAGGATTAAAAAAAGAAAATAAAAAAACAGGTAATACAAAGTATTTTGATATGCATATTTCTTATATTTTATAATATAATTGTTATTTTAAAAAATAAACCTTTTTAAATGGTTCCATTTTATAAACAGATTTGCATTTGGCTTCTTGACGGACGACCGGATGGGGCTTATGGAGTTTGAACCTTTACGATTACTGTACTAATTACTCTCTCTAAAAAGTATTGCATTACTTATTACTAATTACTTTCTAAATCCCATATCAACCTCAACAAGTTGAGCAATACAAGGATAGACATGAATCTACTCTTAATTCTTTCAAATAAATAATGTTAAATGGCATAACTTATTCTTGAGCTGAGCAAAGTATTTAAAGGGAAATGTTTACATTAAAAACATACATTTTTATTTTTAATCCAGTGTTGTTTTTACATAGAATTGTTCTATATAATTACATCAGAAGTAACTAATTAAATTACAGAAGATTTAAGAGTAATCCCTTAAGAGTTATCCCATTGCAACTTTATTTTACATCTATAAAATTAACAAACAAGCATAAAAAAACAGACAATTCACACACAGCATAACCTTCCCTTTTAAAAATTGATCAGTTTTGCTATCCTAACCATACACAATTATACATTTAGTTGCATTTGATTGTTAACATTAGCATTTATTCCTACCACCATGTCTGCAACCCATCAGAACAAACCCACTGGTTGAGAACCACTTTTTTAGAGCACAAAAGTACTTTAAAGATTTTGCTTAATGGTCTCATGACATGCGTGCATTAGTTTAATTTTATTTTCTAGTATCCGACAATGTACAGTGATGATCCAGAGACTGGTCAAAAATTCAACTGTATCCAGCGAGCGCATCAGAACACGTATGTACATTATGCATCACTCAAGATATATGTGTGTGTTCAGGGCAGATCTTATATTACTGCAGAATATTAATGCTTCCTTGACAAGAAATATCGGTTTACCGAATGTTTTACATTTCATATAAAAATGAATGTTGTGGGGGTTTGTCCTTATTTTCTGATGATTTAGTGATTTTCACATCTGTAATTATTATTGTGAAACAGAGTTGAACTCTTGTCGCCATTCCTGTTTCAATTATCTGTGGGAGGGATTCAGCATCCAGTGAGTACAGATTCAAGCTTTATTAACCCTTACCTGGAGGTGCACTCTAAATACACATGCAAGATAATGCAAACTCTGAAGTGAACTCTTTATTGTGTTTGTGATTCTCAGTGCCTGGCCAGTGTGTTGGGAATGATCTGGATCGTCAGTCGGGTGCTGTACGCTCATGGATACTCTTCTGGAAGTGAGTCTCAATCTGATCTGCGAATATTAAAGACAGTTAAACTGACAGTATAGATACAGATCAAAACAGCTAGAGAAATGTTTCTGTGTTGTGTTCTGTCCTGTTAGAGCCTGAGAAACGCCACCGTGGGTCGTTCGGTATGGTTGCTTTGCTGGGTCTGTTTCTTTGCACGGTGAACACCGGGAGAACGCTGCTCGGATGCGATCATGGGTTAAAATGGGTCAAATGGCCGAAATGTTTTAAACAGTGAAAACTGCGTTTACAGATCAGTCCTGTTCTAATTCTACATTCTGTAAAATGTCGTTTTAAAAAAACACTTATTTTCTCTGTTTTGCAAATCTAGAAAAACACAAGAGACACTTCACACTGTAAGAATTTGCTGTGTGTACATTTGTGCTTTAAATAAATGGCACAAAAGTTAAAAAGTTACATTCAATTACTTTTTTTTGTCATAAAATTACATAAAAAGGACATTTGAAACATGCATACTATAACAACCAAGTGCATGAGTGTTATTTTAGTATCATTGAGGTACTGTTAACGTTTTAGTAATTTTGTTGTGTTTTTCGTGTCATTGTTTTTTTTGTCTGTAGCCTATAGTTTTTATTTATTTTTATTTCAGTTTTAATTTGTTATATTTTGCTACATCAAGTTAAATTAAATTAAAATAAGAAATGTTGCTTTGGCAACTAGCTAAAATATATAATTTATTATTTATGTTTAAGTGTTGTTTTAATATTTTACTTCTCTTAACGTTCATTTCAAGTAACAGGTTTTTGTTATGTTTTAGTTTTTATCTGTGCCACATTTGACATTTGACTAAAGGGAAGAAGTCAAATGAAAAAAAGAAAAAAAAAAGAAAATATGCTTAAAAATACCATATTAATACCAATCAAAACTAAAGCTAATTTATCGAAACTTTAGAAAAATGTAATATTGTGCCTCATTCATTGACGTGTTTAACACAAGATTATTTTAATAAATTAGAAATTATACAAATATATTCCAGAAACTGCAGAACATGTAAGTATAATGTCTATCTATAGCATTAGTTCGATTGTATGCCAAGTACAATGTTGTGGATATTGTAGCAGGGATATGAGGTGTTCATGTGTTTAGGGTACTTTTTACATTTTTTAACACACAGGTTTATGCAGTAGAATATAATATGTGTAGATGGAGTCATATCATAACATAGAGGGTCTTTTTTTCTCTCCATCATTTTTACTACTAGGCCTACTACTCCTAAGGAGTGAGCGGCCATTAAACAAGATTAACTACATTTCCCATAATCCATCTGTCGTGCCGGAAGTGGCGTGATTGTGGCTCCTGGATTTAAACTTGTCACTGATCCCATGAAAAGACGATTTTAGACATAAAATAACACTTTTAATGAGAATTTCCATGACAGGACATGCGTTCATGAGGTTTCTCTGAAGTTACCGGTCTCTCAGTGTTTTGAAGCGTCGTTTCAGTCGTTTGTTTACTAAAGCCGAAACACCTCTGCATTATTATTATATCAGGTGTCGCTACGCGATCCGTTTACCTGTCGCTGTTACCTCACCTGTCATCATAATTCCCCATGGTTTTATGTGTATTCATACCGCAGGCAGGGTTTAGGCTCGCATTTTAATCGAGAAGTTGATTATCGGTCGCTCAGGATGAACTGGGATCAGCAGTTGCGCTCCATCATCTCCGAGGCTGATGAAAGCGGCGCAAAAATGAGGGTAAGATACTGTTTCATCTCTAATAATTTGATTAATTTTAATTTTCTGTACATGTGTGTCAGTTTAGTGTGTTGTAGATGCTAGCTGCTAGAGTGCGCTCTTTATGTCTGGCAGATGAAATAAAAGCGACAGTTCACTCAAAGTTAAAATGTTGTCATTGTTTACTCACACTCATGTTATTCTGCACCTGCATGACTGACTTTTGTAGTAAGCTTAATACAAAGTTATTAATAATGTGTCTTACAGGGAACGTCTTACTACACATGGAAGATCTCCCAGAGAAACAGAAGGTAAACTCGTTTTTAAATGATTAAGTCCATTAATGGAACCTAAATAATAAATGTTGGCAGATGGGGATGTTCTGTGTTATTGTTTTCTTTTCCTAATCTGGAAATAAAAGGGAAGTTAAATACATACATAAAATACCTTCCAGGCCTACAGAAGTCTTGGAAATTTTAATTAAGTTTTATGGTCAAAATATTAAAATACTACATATTCTGTTTGGGAGTAATGTTGTTTTAGTATATTTATATACTGTTGTAGTTTTTTTATTTTTTATTAATGTTTTAAATAAGCTCTTTATATTTTTATTTTAAGTAATTTTATTGTAAAAATGTTCTTTTGTAATTTTTATTTTTTTAAGTGCTATTTAGGTTTAATTTATTTTAATTTCAGTTTTGGTTTTAGATTTTATTTATTTCCAGTAAATAATTATGGTGCGTGAGGCTAAACTTATTTCAGTTCTAATTTTCATTTAGTATAAGTATTTCATCTTCAGCACATAATGCATTGGTAGGCCCTAATTTTTTCTAAATTCCATTTTATTTTTTTCTGGATTCAGTTTTTTTCCGTTTTAAAAGTTCTTGATTCCATTTTAATGGTTAAATAAAATTTTGGTAATCAAAAAGAATGTCTAATCAATTGAAATCTTACACAGTTAAACAACAATTTATCAAAAGTTGAACAAAAATGTAATTTTTATGGCCCTATGAAATCCATTTTATTATTACCCAAGTTCCATTAAAATTTTCACAAATTCATTAAAATGTTTCTGTATTTAGTTTTAATGGTTTAATTAAATTTTAATAATCAAAAAGCATTTCTAATCAGTTGAATTCATAAAACTTAAACAATTTAATTTATTAAATTTTTTTACAATATTAGGGTCCTTTTATTTTTCAGAAATTCTGTTTAAAATTTTTCTTGATTTATGATTTAATAACTTCATTATCAAAAACAGTGGAAGGCATAACATTTTAACTGATTTAATTAATGTTTTAAAATGTAATCAAATTAAAATGTAACCGTACCTTTTCATTTTTGTAAAATAAAGTGATGCACAACAAAGTATAATTTTACTGTTAAAATTGTATGATATTCCTTAAAAGAATAATGCTAAATGATTAATTGTACAGCCGTAGTTTTGATTTATTAATCCAAAATTGAGAGATGGATCGAGAGCTGAGCAGTCTGAGAGGTCAGATCAACCGAGCCGCGACTCTAGGAAACTAGGAAGAAAGGTCTGTAATGGTTCTTTAGTGACATATTTATAAGCAGTATTTATATTGTGCACTCCAACATTGTTCAGTCTCGACAACAAGGGAACTGACCAAATTAAAAGAGGCTTAAAAACACCCTAATATCCATGATTTCCTAATTTTATATAAAAATATTCTAGTTTTGAATATTTAATTCCATTTAATAATTTAAGTGCTTATGCTTAAACCCATTTCATTTAGTTGCCAAGGCAATTCATCTATTATTTATCATTTATTTTATTTCAGCTTTATTTCAATTATGAAAAGTGTTTTAATATTTTTAGTTAATGATAATAGCCCTGTTTGGGAATTAAATTGCCATAAAATAATTTTAAAAATCCTTATTTAGTCATTTTGAGGGACTGGAGAAGTTTTGAGACAATGGAACTGACCAAATTAAAATTAAAAATGTAAATTATGTTTTTAGCGTAAAATGACCTTAATATCCACAATTTACTTTTTTTTTTTTTTATCATCACTGGTTCTGGAGGGCGAGTGATCTGAATAGTTTACTTCCAACCCTTATCCAACACACCTGTTCATCATTTTTAAATAGTCTTGAATACTTTGATTAGCTTGTCAGGTGTGTATGATTAGGGTTGGAACTAAACTCTGCAGGACACCGGCCCTCCAGGAGCCGAGTTGAAGAGCCCTGGTTTATAATGATCTTCGTCTGTCCACAGTTTCAGCTCTAAACTCCGCAGAGAAGAACTGGAGCAGCTCAGGAGAGAGGTGGACATTCTCAAAAACAAACTCAGTAGGTCGTTAACTAGTCACTTTTCATCTTTGAGGCCATAGATGGATGAACTGACTTACATTAGATATATACACTATAGCGTTAGACGCATAAATCAAGCTCTTTCAGTGTTGTGTTATTACAGTCAGGGCTCTGCCAGAGCAAATATACTTTGTGTCAAAATAAACATGCACAGCCGATGCGCTGCTTTCACTGTCACACAAATAAACATCCCACTCAGATACTGCTTGTGTTTGTGTTGGCTTCACATTCATAACGGCTTCAATATTGATAGACATTCAGACTCTGGTTACATTTATACCGTGTTCATAAATGTTAAAAAAGCTAACTGGTTGTGTTTCTGTAGTGTGGCAGGAGGAAGATAGATACGTTCCAGCTCCAGTCAGAGGCCAGAGAAACAAGGAGACAGTATGAACGCAGCTCTAAAGTAAAGAAATTACACACACGCTCATATATGTACACTATCGCTCAAAAGTTTGGGGTCAGGATGAAAGCAGTTAATAATGTTATTCAACAAGCATGTATTAAGCAGCACAACTGTTTTCAACACTGATAACAATAAGAAATGTTTCTTGAGCAGCAAAACGGCATATCAGAATGATTTCTGAAGGATCATGTGACACTGAAGACTGGAAACTCCGCAGAGAAGAACTGGAGCAGCTCAGGAGAGAGGTGGACATTCTCAAAAACAAACTCAGTAGGTCGTTAACTAGTCACTTTTCATCTTTGAGGCCATAGATGGATGAACTGACTTACATTAGATATATACACTATAGCGTTAGACGCATAAATCAAGCTCTTTCAGTGTTGTGTTATTACAGTCAGGGCTCTGCCAGAGCAAATATACTTTGTGTCAAAATAAACATGCACAGCCGATGCGCTGCTTTCACTGTCACACAAATAAACATCCCGCTCAGATACTGCTTGTGTTTGTGTTGGCTTCACATTCATAACGCCTTCAATATTGATAGACATTCAGACTCTGGTTACATTTATACCGTGTTCATAAATGTTAAAAAAGCAAACTGGTTGTGTTTCACAGTAGTGATGGGTCATACGCTCAAGTATGATTTTTGTTTTGTTTAAAATTAATTTAATACTTTTAAAGTATGAATCTAAAACTTTTTTTTTGCATGGACACATTCAGTTGATCAAAAGTGACAGTAAAGACGTTAATGTTCATCAAAGAATACTGAAAAAAGCAATATCACGGTTTCCACAAAAATACGAAGCAGCCCAACTGTTTTTTTCAACACTGATAACAATAAGAAATGTTTCTTGAGCAGCAAAACGGCATATCAGAATGATTTCTGAACGATCATGTGACACTGAAGACTGGAATAATGATGCTGAAAATTCAGCTTTGCATCACAGGAATAAATTACATCTTAACATATATTAAAGTAGAAAATGCTTATTTTATACTGTAATAATATTTCACATTATTACTGTATCAAATAAATGCAGCCTTGGTGAGCAGAAGAGACTTCTTTCAAAAACATGGCAAAACCTTTGCATTTTCACATCCTTTATTTATCTTAATGGGGTGTTTTTTTCCCCCCAAAAGTTACTCGAGGTTTCTTTGATTCTCAGACAGGCTGTTTTTGCTACTGTACCTTTAATGTGCATTTAACTTGACTTCTGTATGTAAATGACTTCTGTTATGATTGGCTAACGTTTGTGAACACACTCAGGTCATGGTGCTTAATATGCAAGAGTCGTTTACATAAGAATTTATGTTTTTGCTGTGTAGTTTCAGTTCACACTCATGTGAGGTTTGTATTCTGCAGACGTTTGAGAGTTTCACAGACTCGTACTGCACACACAGTTTTGAACTCACTCGGATGGTGTCACAGATGGAAATGGAAACCTCTGTCTAATGTTGACGTAAGTAGGTTTAAAGAGTGTAACGGACAGTTTACTTGTCATTAAGGCTTGAACCGTGCTATTTATGCTATAATTGATCTACGTTCATGAGTTTTTGCAGTATTTTTTATGACTGACACACATTAGATAGAGATAGTCTTGCTTTGCAAGTATTGCACTGACATACTCTGAGGTATTAGCTACCAATGTAAGTGGCAAAACAGCTTTTGAAATTATGCAAAAAGAGTGTTTTCAATATGAACATGCAACGCATAACATCCATTTAGTCAAAAAGAGTTTGACTCAGGCTTGTGTACATGTTTTAAATGTATTTGCAGTCAGTATTTGGAGCATGTTTGCAAAAATGCTTGTTATATTTTTAACATGCATTGATTTGTTCACAGTAAGACCAGAAATGCGACCCTGGACCACAAAAGCAGTCTTAAGTCGCTGGGGTATATTTGTAGCAATAGCCAAAAATACATTGTATGGGTCAAAATTATCGATTTTTCTTTTATGCCAAAAATCATTAGGATATTAAGTAAAGATCATGTTCCATGAAGATATTTTGTAAATTTCC